ATGTGGCAGCTCATGCTGGTAACCTTCGTGTCCTACTCGCTGCTGCCCGTCCGGACTCTGCTGGCCATCGTCTTCGGGCTGGTGGTGTCCGTCTCCCACCTCATCGTTACCGCCACCTCCGTCAGTGCCAAGAGGCAGCGGCTCTGGAGGACGGTGAGAGAGGCCGGGCCGGGCCGGGCCGGGCCGGGCCGGGCACTGCAGCTCCGCACGGCTGCGGGGTGCCTGCCAGCCCGCGGGAGGGAGGGAGAGAGGGAGGGAGGGCGGAGAGGCGTGGAGCGGCCCCCCGCCCCGAGCCCCCAGCCCGGGCGGCGGCCGAGGAGTGCCCGGGGTGTCCCCGGCGGGGAAAGAAAGGGCAATCGCGCACCTGTGCCTTGGGCGGCTGTGTCTGTAGTTCCCCGAAGTTTCCGGGAGGCAGGGGGGAAATAGGTCAGCTTTGGGGAGACGGAACCTCTTGGCTCTGTCTCTCCGAGGAAAAGCGGGGAGAGGGCAGTGGAGCCAGCTCTGCCGTGCCCACGCTTGGGGCAAGTTCAGAGCACCGCATGCACAGTCGGTGCAACACAGCCCATTATCAGTAACACCGCTTGGCTCGGTACAAACTTGGCAGAGACAATAAGCTGCGTGTGGCAATAATACTTCCACGGAGTTGGCTCGTGTCCTTGCTGTCTTTCTCAGCCATGGACCCTTCGTGCTCATACACACCCTATCTACACTTCAGTTAGTGTCTTTGAAGACACCATCTGAAATAAGTGGGACTCTCACAGAGGGAACCCCACATCGCTGCTCTCTCAGCAAGCGGGGCATTCCCCCTTCAGCTTCCCCAGGGCGGCTGCTGCCTCCTCTCCACAGTCATTACGTGCTATGGCAGTGAACTTCCTAGCCGTTCCCTTTCACCTCTGAATGAATCCAGCAAAATCTCCCTCTGCAGCAAGTATCTTTGGAAACGTGCTGCTGCACTCTCCCCTCCTCCCCCGAGGAGCTATTTATATCCCTGCAGGGCTTTCTCCGGCTTTCGTGGCCTGATGGGCCGCACTGGCAGGGGGAGGAGGATGAGGAGATGCGCGTGTGGGAATCACTGGGGCTGACAGTCGGGGTTTGCTATTGAATGCTCTGTTATGTGGTGCCTCTGAACCACTGGGAACGAGAAATTGAAAAATTTTTCTGTCCTTCCTCACTAGCATTGATTCTGTCTGCCCTCAGGGGAAGCACACAGGTTCTGTGGTCCAGATTGCTGTTAAACAACAATTTAATGTGTAATTGAAGTACTTAGTACATTACTTCTGCAGAATCTTGGTATTATTCTCCATGACTGTGTAAGGCTCTGTTGTGATGCTAGGGCGTACACAACTGGCATAAGCAGAAACACTGGCATAAGCAGGATTGTACACTTTTGTGCCCAGAACCGTGAATTCCTGCCTTCTCCTTCCGTGCTCACACAGACACACCTCAGTGTGACATACATGCACAGAATAGAGATACACACACAGGGACAGCCACTGAGTTGGGTTACTGAGACAAACAGGATTATTCATGGCTTCACGCTGCTGAGCTGGTGGACAAAATAAATTGTATATTTTGAAGGAGAAGAGAGAGAGATAAGCCGAGCTTTATGATTTACCCAGATAATCTGATGGTCTATTTTTAAATATGTGATTTAGGGTTTCCATGAGAGGGAGAGCTGATGAAATGCAAGAGCACTGAGAGAAGCCTTCCTTAAAAGCATTCAAAATGATGCTAAAAATGCTAGAATATTCTTTTTGAGTAGAGCTGAACATAGCTCTTTTTACTGGAGTACCAATTAGTCCTTATGGGAGTTCTGGCTATCCTGTCTCCCCTGACACACAGGCAGATTTTCCTTGATGCCAAGCTGCAGCTCAGTGTGGCATCTGCTGTTCTAGATGAATAACATAAAGAAGCTGACAATAATGTCTGCTGACTAAATTATCTAACCAAGGTCGTGAATGTGAAACATTCTGAAGAGGGAAAATCTGCTAACTCCCTTCAGACTAGTTTAATTCAGTTATTCAACAGGCGAGAAGCTGGCTTAAAAATACGTAGAAATAGTTGATTAACATCTGATGTAACATATGTACGTTTCTTCTTCATCACCCTCTCCCTCCGCCGTGGCTTGCATGCAGTCCCCAGAGCAGTATGCCTTGCTGATAACAGGAGGCAGAAACCAGCTCTGAGTCAAGCAAAATAACTGGTCTGTGAACTTATGGTGCCCAGAAATTCACACTGATTTGTGGCATAGTTGTAAGGAAAAGGCGTATGATTTGAAGATTCTCTCTGTGTATGGAAGGGACTCATCCCTTACACAGACGTTTTTGTCTTTAAAGATATGTAAAGGCCGCATCATCTGAATTTTACTTGCTTGTCTTGGGAATAGCTGAGCCTTTTTTGTAAAGGGTAGAATGGATGCTGCCTTGCAGTCGAGATCTACTTCCCAGACACGGGTTATTGTCATGACCACTCCAGTGCTTGTAGACACAGCCATGCAGGTGGCCTGTCAGGGAAGTAGGACCTGCTCTATGCAGAGCTGCAGTAGCGTGAAAGGGCTCAGTTCTTTCTCCTACCCCTTTCTTCCTAGCCCCAAGCACCAATCACTGACACTAATGTTC